GAGGCAGAGGTGGCAGTGAACCCAGATCGCGCCATTGCACTCCAGCCTGGGCGACAGAGCAAGACTCCATCTCAAAACAACAACAACAACAACAACAAAAAGCGAATTTCTTACTGTATACGCAGAAAGTCATGAACTCGTCGTTTTGAACAGCACCATAAATTTACATGAAATTTCAAAACTTCGCCCCTCCTTCCCTTCTCCCTTGCTGGCATGTAGCTGTTTTAGTTTGCAGAAGATAACTACGTGCCAAGAATCCAACTGGACACGGACTAAAATTACTTTAATCTTAGTGTGTACCTTGGAAGTGTAAAGCGATTTTTCCTTGGCAACCTTGCATGGTTAATCCACACAAACTCCATCATTATGAACATGGGTCTTCCTTTAGAGGTGGCAGAAGCATTTGTCAGAATTTGGGGCAAGTATAGCCGGACAAAGCATATTGTAAACTTATAATTTAATGCAAACTATCAAATTTTAAATTGGCTAAAATATTTTTATAAGATGTACAGAAGATGGAGTAAAATATAAGCATGGTAAGGCACAAGATAAATAGTTCCAGGGAACCAGAATCTACTATGAAGTTAAGTAAAATGAATATTTTGATTACTATGAAGTTAAGTAAAATGAATATTTTGATTAAGTTCAAGGTTGACTAGAGAATGTCATCCATATTTTGGGGGAAGTCCTCCAATGTGAATATGAAATTACGCTGTGCACGTGAGAACAACAGTTGTCATGAATTGAGTGCTTCTCACATCAGGACTGTGTTTTGCCTGTGGGTCCAGGCTCAACATGTTAGATATCTCCATTTTATAGATTAAAAAAAAAAAATGAGGCCAGTGTATCAACAAACAAGAAGCAGAGTTTCAATTAAATTCTAGAATTTGTGATTCAAAAACCCAGGTTCTCTTTTACGTACCTCATTGCTTCTTTGCCACTCGAGAGAGCTAAATAAGTCATGGTAAGTCATGCCTGCACGTTTTATTTTCTATGTGGCTGAGGGTCTACCCACTCAAGAAGGTAAATATAATAGAAAAAGCTTTCTGATGCACACCTGTGGCACACACCTGTAATCCCAACATTTTGGGAGGACAAGGCAGGCAGATCACTTGAGCCCAGGTGTTTGAGACCAGCCTCGGCAACATGGTGAAACTCCATCTCTACAAAAAACGCACAAATTAGCCAGGTATGGTGGTGCACACCTGTGGGAGGATTGCCCGAGCCCAGGGAGGTTGAGGCTGCCATGAGCTTTGATTGCACCACTGTCCTCCAGCCTGGGTGACAAAGTGAGATCCTGTTTCAAAAAACAAAAGAAAAAAAAAGTTTTCTAAGATTGTATTACGCAATTCCTCACCTCCTCCAATATGTTATAGTGAACATTTAATAATCTTTTCCTGGAAACTCATCCTTCACGTTGGTGACTGGACCATACTATAAATGAGGCGATGCTCCCAGGGTCTGCGGTGGGGGGGTGATTGGTCCACACGGTGGTACTTTTCCAGTTTGCTTGTCAGAATATGATTTCGATTCTTCCCCCGGCTGCTGTTCATGTGTTTGAAGTCCCTTTCCTTCCTTATTTATTTATTTATTTGAGATAGAGTTTGGCTCTGTTGGCCAGGCTGGAGTGAAGTGGCATGATCTCGTCTCACTGCAACCTCCACCCCCAAGGTTACAGCGATTCTCCTGCCTCAGCCTCCTGAGTAGCTGGAATTATAGGCACGAGCCACCATGCCCAGCTAATTTTTAAATATTTTTAGTACAGACAGGGTTTCCCCATGTTGGCCAGGCTGGTCTCGAACTCCTGACCTCAGGTGATCCACCCGCCTCAGCCTCTCAAAGTGCTGGGATTACAGGCATGAGCCACTGTGCTGGGTCCCTTTTCCTTCCTTAAATAGGGATCTCCCACTGCCTTGGGAACTAGATAATCAAACCAATTAGAGCTATATGTAAAATAAAAGTAAATAGGCCTGAAGGGCTGGCCCGCAAGGACCCCATAAGAGCCCAGATTCCTTAACTTCCACTTTCATGTCACAGCAGCCCCACTGCATACCTCTTAAGTTTGTGCTGTGCCCCAGATAAAGGAGTACATTATGTCACCAAGTTCTAAGTAAGTGGGGTGCACTGAAACTTTCAGTAGAAGCAAGATGCACACACACACAAACATGTATGATTTTATTTGTTTTCTCACTGGCACTGGCCTACTGTCAGATTCAAAAAATAATTTTATTTCAGAAGAAAGAAAATATTTTACTTATTTAGCTTTTGTTTATACTGTTTTATTATTAAGAGGTTTTTTTTTTTCTTTTTTTAAGAGATAGGATCTTGCTATGTTGCCCAGGCTGATCTTCAATTTCTGGCTTCAAGCAATCCTCCTGTCTCAGCCTCCTGAGTAGCTGGGAATATAGGTATATGCCACTGCTCCCAGCTTAACTTAATGGAATGTGTTTTTATTCACCCATTGGAAAAGGCTTTGCTACATATTAATACAGCTTGTCACTAACAAACCCTTCTTTTTTTTTTTTGAGACGGAGTCTCACTCAGTCGCTCAGGCACGATCTCGACTCACTGCAACCTCTGCCTCCCGGGGTCAGGCAATTCTCCCATCTCAGCCTCCCAAGTACCTGGGATTACAGGTGCATGCCGCCATGCCCAGCTAATTTTTTATCTTTAATAGAGATGGGATTTCACCATGTTGGCCAGGCTGGTCTCAAACTCCTGACCTTAGGTGATCTGGCCACCTCAGCCTCCCAAAGTGCTGGGATTATAGGCGTGAGCCCGACCACTAATAAATCCTCCTTTAAATAAGAAAATAATATGATCATAACTTTGTGTGAATTTTAATGTCCTGGAGGCTTGTTGCTTTATGTATAAAGTGCAGGTCAGTAAAAATTAAAATGAGGTAGTGTGGTATAATAGGCTTAACCCAGTAAGGGTACAATAAAGGATGGCTAATTATTATTATTATTTTTATTATTATTTTGAGATGGAATTTTGCTCATTCGCCCAGGCTGGAGTGCAATGGCACGATCTCGGCTCACTGCACCCTCTGCCTCTGGGTTCAAGCGATTCTCCCGCCTTAGCCTCCCGAGTAGCTGGGATTATAGGCACCTGCCATCATGCCCAGCTAATTTTTGCATTTTTAGTAGAGATGGGGTTTCATCATGTTGGCCAGGCTGGTCTTGAACTCCTGACCTCAGGGGATCCACCCACCTCGGCCACCAAAAGTGCTGGGATTACAGGTGTGAGCCACTGTGCCCGGCCATGGATGGCTATTATTCTCACATGAATTCAACTGAAATCTCAATCGGGCAACACCAATAACAGTGTTTCCTACATAACTTAAAAACTGTTCTTTGTCATCCCCTCATCTACCCAATGGGAATTAGAGCTCGCCTGTGAGGCTGCTTGACAGGACCACTGAATGCTGGGAATCAACCATACTCTATCCTCTCATTTAACAGATGGGGAAGCAGAGGTCCAGGGAGTTTGGGAAACTTGTCCACAAAGGGACAACTACTTTGTGGCTGAACTAGGTCTAGGACCGCAGCTCTCTTTATCAACATGAGTATCTCTTTCATTTATATGCCCCTTTACATTGACAAGGCACCTCCTCAGCTCCATGATTTTGTTTATTACACTACATCACCCAGCTCATGAAAATGGCTTTTTTTTCCTCTTTTCTTGTCTTTGGAAGATTTTTTGCATTCTTGTAGCAGTTGATTCCATACTAACCTCTAAATTGGAAATATGTATATACACACAGACACATGTGTGAACATGTGGAAGAAACAGCACTGGGTCTTCCTGGACAACCCAGTACAGGACACACCCTGGCAGCCACAAATCACAAATAAGAAAAGGTCTTTCCATGTGAGTTGCTTTCGACACTTCAATGCTAAAGAGCTCAGAAGTGCTTACACTTTGAAAGAAGCCTGAAAACATTTGTAGGCTACCCTTTAATGTGTCTCATTTGGAGACAGAACAGTGAGCAGGCTGACCAGCTGCTCTTCATGTACTTTTTGCAGTAAATCCTTCAAAGAATGAAGAGTGAAGACAATTCATTTTTCCTCCTGGAATTTTTCCTTCTTATTATTTTGCTTTTTTAAAGGTTGTTATATTCAGGGATAGGCATAAGACATTGTAAAAGATAAGGGATATCATGTGAGGGAGGAAATCAGACAATTAATCCAAAAAATCTTTTGTAGAAATAAAAAATCAGAACTTGGGGGCAAGATAGGAGACAACACATTCTTTCTACAGAGCTGTGACACATAGCCCAACTGTCCTCAAAAGCAGGAATGAAAAAAATAACAACAACAAAAAAAACAGACCTCAGCTACATAATGAAGCTGGGGTATTGGCCTAATAGCTTCTAAAGTCCTTAAAACTAGGCTGGGCATCAAGCGTCTTTTCCGGAATAGGCCAAGGAAGACAAGTCCAGTTTGGTTTTTAAGGCTTTAGTGAGCTCTGCGCCCAGCAGCTCATGGAGGGAAACGCCGTCGTGGGAATACACCCAGTTTTTCCCAGTCCAGTCATAACGCTTGGGTCCACTGGAAGACAAAAAAAATACATAGTAATTCCAGAGTACAGCCCTTCAGATGAACCACTGATTCCACAAACGCTGCCCCCAAGAAATTGACTGGAGTAAGGCTCTAGAAAATAACACAAAATGAGCTACAGTGTATATCTGACTTCTTATCTTAGCATCTAAGAAGAGTTATACAATAGATCTTCTGGAACAATTCCCAGAATCATTCTCAAAACCTGAAAAAACATTTGATCCTTACTGATAAGTCTCCAGGTATCACACTTTGATCTCCAGCTTTTGCTACCTCACATGTGACACCTGCTATGCTAGAGTAGTGTTTAAAAATTAGGGCCATTTTTGTGCCACTGATGTGCCTTACCTATACTATTATTACCTTACCTATACTTGTGCCTTACCTATACTATTATTAGTTGTTAAGGTAAAATTCACATAACATAAAATTAACCATTTAAA